GGACAGTGCCCCCCCCAACCAGGAGAAGCTCCCTGGCTGTGAGCGGCATCGATCATGGGATCCACACGGAGTTTTTTTAATTTCATATGGGCACCCGTGATCTCACTTAATGACTCAGATGCACTTAGACAAAGAAGAAATAAAGTATATTTTACTTCCCGCTAATTTGCACCAGATGTCCCTGGCCTGCTTGGCAGGACGACGGGGCCGGCGAGCATTGTGGGAGCGCCTGGAAGCAGTGCCCCAGCAAGGCAAAGGGCTAGGAATAGAAAGCTGGAGGAAGAGAAAGGACTGGCGGCTGTATGAGGGGCCTGGCTTCGCTTCTCCGCTCCTTCCTTCCCCGCAGTCGTGCTGCCACCAGCCGAGGTGCCCCTTGCCAACATCCCTGCCCGGCATCACCGGAGCGGGGAGGCTCAGCTATGGGGAGCACACCGCGGGGAGAGGAGAAATGTGAGGCAGTGGGTGCAGGAATTGCCCCTGGGATCTGCTGAGAGGAGGCTGTGCACCCTGATTTCCAGCAGGCAGCGCTTCCCCTTGCTGGTGATCGAGGCTCTGTAGGGACCAGAGCTCCTTCCGAGGTGGCTGTCAGGCCAGCCCTGGTTCCTGTCCTGCTTCCCAGCACACCGAGCTGTCCCCTGCCCTGTGCGCCAGCTTTGCAGGCTGGTTCCCAGCTCCCACAGCTCTGGGGGTGCTTGTGGGAACCCCATACTTGTTCTTCACAGGACATTAGTGGTTGTGGAGGAACGGCAAGAAACAAGGTCTAGGCTTGTACAGGGGAGGGCAGTGGGTCAGGACAGTTTTCTTGGTGTGGATGCCCATCTGTGTAGACCTCCCTGGTTTAAAGCAGTTGCAGGGATGGAATTGGCTCCATCCCACGTGCTCTGTGCTTGGGGATGGGCAGTGCTGTATGATGCTTGTGCCAGCAGTGGCTGCTGCTCGTGCTGGGATGCTCTGCACTGTACGTGTGCTGGGAGCAGCTGCAGAGAGAAGGGGACTCGGAGGTGTGGCAGGGCACACCAAGAAAAGTCAAGGGAAATTCTTGTCTTGTTACTCAAGAATAGTCAAGACTGAGCCCACACAACATATTTTGGTCACTAGAAAAGGTGTCTTTAGCATCCTTAAACAAGAGATAGGTCTGGAGTGAGGGAAGAGTAACAAGTTGATAAGGTTTGGTGATGCTTGAACACCTTAGCAAGGCACTGCGAGGTGGGGAGGAGTGGCAGAGATGGATGAAGGAGCGGTCCTCCCTAAATAAAGGTGGGGCCATCCTCAGCTGAAGCTGGATGCGGCTCTTCCTCATATCCAAAGCCCTGGGCGTAGCCCTGCTCCTGCTGCAGAAATTCCTGTCCAAGTTCATCGGCCACAGAGGCATCGGCTGCTGGCTGCCGCTTGAAGCAACAAGTCGGGGAGTGGGAGAGGAGGCAGAGGAGAAAGCTCAGCTGTCATCGGGTTTGGGATGCAGAAGAAATGAGTTTGGGCTGCTCTGGAGAAGCTGCAAAGTCATGAGATGGGGAATCATGAGACTTGAATCCCGGTCCTGGCGCAGCCTTGGTCCTGCTGCGTGGCCTTGGCCATGGCCGTTTGACCTCTCTGCTCTGGCCCCAGTGCTCTCCAAACAGCGCTGCTGCTCAGGAGTATCGAGGTGCCCCCATTTATCCCATCACCCTGCATTAGAGATGCTCCAAAAGGCTTTTGGTGGTGCCTGGCCCCAGCCAGCTGTGGGATGCTTTCCTTTCACCAGCGCGGCTGTGGGCAGGAAAACTCGACAGCCCCAGAGCTGGCTCAGCTCTGCATT